TGCATCCCACAAGGGGATGACTGGTTAAGACTTTTAAAATATGTAGTAGTATGTTTTACCCCACTAGGACATCATACAAGCGATAAACACCCTCATGACACAAAGTGCCACCATGTGGATGAGGATCACCTGTGGAAAAGTCCGGGAACCCCGTTCAGCCATTAAACCATATTTATGGCTAGGCCCCCGTGTGGCACCCTGGCAGGGTGGGGCTTCAAAATAATGAAAAATTGCAACCCACAGGGGGATGAGATTATATGTTTGTATTAGTGTTATAGTGACTCTTTCTACTCATGTAGTAATTTATCCGTCTTCCAAACTAGTTGTATTATTGCATACATACAAGGTCTGATAATTAAATAATGAGACTATTTTCATAAAAATTAAAAAGTCAACAATTGGAGATTTAACCTGTATCTCATTCAAAATGAGTCTCCTTGTACATTGATACAGCAAGTGGTACGATCTAACAAACACTGGAAAGACCTCTGTAGTTCTTCTGTTGTTTACGTCCTTAAAGTCGATGTTAAGGCCCTTTGGGTGTCATCATTATCGTTAGAGGGACGTCCTTTCAATCGCAACTTTAATTTTGGGAATAGTAAATAATTACAGGGAGACAAATCTGGGGAATAGGGTAAAAGGCTGAGAACACATATTTGTTTTTGGGCCACAAATTCTTGTTTTGATTATTTCTCTTGTGTATCAACCCGCTGATGTTTTTAGTCATCAGACAACGAATGTAGTACAAACCAGCCAGCAACTGTTTTTTCTTGCCAAAATCTTGCACTAAATTGTAAGGAATGGTCTCTCTATTACCACTAGATTCATCTGCTATCATCATCACAGTAAAACAAAGATCTTGTTATATCCGTTCTCTGACTTTTGCAATGAGCTCACCATTACAAACAGAAATTTCGCGTCCAGGTCTAATTGCATAAGTAATCATTTCCACACCACTTTTGAATCGTGAATATCATCTGAAAATGTGTGCACTTGATTAACAATTACATAACAACATACACTTGTTGCATCAATTCAACTGTTTCATTGGCGCTTTTATCTGAGTTTTAAAAATAATTGCTTTTTGCTCCGTGCTGATTTCGTAACAATGCACTCTGACTAGGTCAACAAAATGGCAGCTTGTTGTTTGTCTTCTTATCGAGCGGCGATAAAAAGTTGATAGATCATTACTACTGTGGGACCTTGTATTTTAATATAGTGCATGACGACCTTCCTTTATATGTATGTCAGAAATTCCATCAGCACTAGTGGCTTTAATGTTTTATGCCTTATTATGACATACTGTACTTCTTCAAAATCAGGCTCTTAAATATTTGGTTCACATGTTAGTAGCTCTTCCTGTTAGTTTATCTTTCCTCTTAACCCTAGCGCAGTGCATAGGGCAGAGGTCATAGCTCTCCGTGTCTAGTAGTTCGTTGCCACCTGTCTTAGGTCTTGGATATTATTAGGCCTACAGTGAGCGTTCCCTGATGATGATTCTAAGCATTGTCTTGCTTTGTCTTTCTCTGTTTTTTCCTTCACGGTGTCCTTATAAGGGCTTGAGGTGGGAGTCTAATCTTCTCCATTCTTAGTGCAGGCTTATTTTTTATAAAACTAGATGCATTATCTTGCCTCGTCTATTGTTATATTTGCATATTGGATCTGAAATCTGTTCAGTGGAGATTTGGTATTCTTTTAAAACATCTGTTCTTAAAATTGTCTAATATTTTATCCAAAGCTTCCCTTGCTTTCCAACTCTCGCACCCATACTATCTTTCTGTGGATAAGTATATAGTGGAGTTTCTCAATTTAACAATTCAGCAAAGTATTCCTTCAGTCTGAAACATATTTCCTGATTATTATTCATCATGTTCCAGCTGTGATCTTTTAAACTATACATGCTGTGTTGATGCCTTCATTTTACGGCCTGTAGTTCTTTGAACAAAATTATTGATTCGTTGTTCTGATGGAAAGCTTGCGTATCGATGACAATACTGTGCATGCATTCTGGTTTTTTTACTGCCAAACTACTTTTGTAGTTTCTTTACATTATGTAAAGAATTTTTTTCCTAATTTCGTATACTGCTAGTATCATTTAGACATATTATTCTTTCTGTTTGTGTTTGACACAGCAAGACATTCTTCCGCAGTGGTTTGAATTATATTCTTAACATCCATCCCGATTTGGTCAAAGTCATCCTCTTACATTTTAATTTTTCCTTTTATTTAATTCGTCTACAAATTTCTCTGAAGATGATGATTCGTGTATTTTTTCTCCATTGTATTCTGGATGTGATCTTTTTCATTTGGTGTACAAGGATCTCTTGATTTAGGCATTTTTCTTTTTTCAATGTTGCACCAACCAGATAGTGGTCACTATGACACTCAGCTCTTCTGTAACTTCTAACTTGTTGTATGTTCGATGCATTTCTATTATTTATTTGAATATGATCTATTCGATTAAACCGGCGTGATGTTGACCACATTACCCATCCAATGCCGATTGGTCTGTAAAAGTATGGGACGCTCTTCTCATAAGCCCGATGCGCCTAAGGCGTGAAAATGGATCTTTACTTTTTACTTTTTAACTTATTCAAATGATTAACACGGTTTGTTTATATATATCTTTTCTTTGAAATCTGGTGCTGCTTTGGCCACAACAAGTTTGAATAATCTCCATTCATGATCGTTTGAATATGTGTGATTACTTTCGATGGCTGCTCATTTCAATAGGTGTTTTCCTATTTTTGCATTGAAATCTCCTAAGACAATCAATGTATCCTGTGTTGTAGTTTCTTCTTTGATATACTCAATGAGATCATAGAAATCTTCTTTAATATAATCTTCTTAATCTTCACATTAATCCTCGTGATATTTAAAACAAAAAAAAATTTATTTGTAACTTACTCATCCTATCAGCTTCAAAATTATCACTTTCCTACAAACGTTTTCTTGATTACTAATCCTGTTCCTAGTACAATTTCCTTGTGAGTGTTTCTTCTATAAGCTCTGATCATTCCGTTTTCTCCAAAAGGTGCCTTGTTCTCGCCATCTGATATTTTGAATCCCTGTTATCCCTGAAATAGAATATTACATATAACCATGTATTTAGAAAAAAAAATTTTTGGCACGTCATTTTTGTTAGTAGACATTCCCTAAAATGAGTCATCGCTTTGAAAATAAGTCCTAATACGTCTTAATGGTAAAAATGTTTGTAAGATTCGGTCTTATTCTCAGGGAAACACGGTAGTTGAACATGATACCGTTTTCATTTTCTCCTTTACATAATAATGTATGTATTACTAATATTTCTTCACAAATTTTCAGTTTTTACATGTTGAGACAGAAAAACTAAATTTGATTTCAATCTATCTGGAAAGATATAAAACCGAACGAAAAGTAGTTCAGCGAACTTCATAATATAACAAGCACAAACAAAACGTGTACATTGCTGCTATGGAGCCTTCATCTACACATGCAAAAAT